GAGGGCCGCCGCCGGCTCACAGGGGGAGGGGGCCGGCCGGGCCGCGGGGGTTCCTGCGCGGAGGGAAAGGGGCGCCGAGGGGCGCGGGGGCTGGAGAGGGGCGCGGGGCGAGGCGTGGGCTGGAGGGTCACTGCCGCACGGGCGTCTCGGGGCGCCTCGGCATCTGCAGCCTTCTCCACATCCTCTCTGCGTCGGGGCCCCGCAGCCCCCGCTCGGGTGAAGCGAAAGCAGTGGCAGTGGCGGCTTGGCCGCCGGGCGGGGAAGGTGGCGAAACGGCCGGTCGACACAACTTGGCCGAGACGGAAGCGAAGGAGCCGGAGCCCCCGGAGCGGAGCCGAGCGCGGCTTGGCGCGGCGCTGCGGCGGGCGCTGCGGCGGGGCCCCGCGCTCGCACCTGAGCGCCTCGCCCTCGCCGCCTCGCGCCGAGGAAGGGCCGCTGGCGGCGGTGACGGGCGGTTCGTCCTCGCCGCGGGCCGGCGGGCGGGCGGCGGAGGGGAGCGAGCGCAGTGCCGGGAGCGCCGGAGAGCACGGGCCGGCTCAGAGGCGGCGCGGAGCCCCGGGCCGCGGGCCCTGCAGTCCTCCCGGCGCGTCACACCGCAAAGTTGTCTCCAGGCTCCCGGGGCGCCGCATCCACCGGCGGGCGGGCCGGCCGCTGCGCGCTTCGCCGGGCCCTCTGCTCCGCCCGCCTCCTCTCTGCCTGCCTCCCTCCGCCCGCCTGCGCGGGCCGGCTGGGCGCGGGGCGCCTGGCGAGGAAGGCGAGGCGGAGGCAGGGCCCTTCTCGCCCCTGTCTCCTTTGCCTGCCGCCGCGGCGGCGATGTCGGCTCGAGCGCCTTAAAGTCTCTCAGCGTCCCCGGTGCGGATGCCCTAGCTCTCTCTCCCACTGGCACAAGCCGCAGGGCCGGGAGAGAGCTGGCGGGTGGCGGCCGCGTCTCCGCGCCCGACCACGACAGAGTGCAGAGCCCGCCGAGGAGGAGTTCTTCTCTTTGCCCTCTCTTCTTTTACTCCTCGTTTTTTCTCCCAAGGGGGTTAAAAAAAAAAGCCGCACAATCTCCGTATGTGCGCGCGCGTTGAGATAGAGGTTGGCAAAAAAAGGCGGAGGGGGGGCGAGTCTCGTCCTGGCCTTGCGGGAGGAGACTGTCCGTGCCTCCCCGCTCCGGCTTCCCGGGAGGGGGGGCAGGGGGAGGGGGAGGCGGAATCTGTTCAGGTCGGTGCTGCCCGCTCCCCCCGCCCACCCCCGCTTCCCTCCGCTTCTTTCCTTTCTGCCTTCGCGAGAAGGAGGAGCGAGCAGGTCCTCTCCCCTCCCCCCACCCCCGCAATGCCGGGCCACTTTTGCGGTCCCGAAACTTTCTCACCACGTGGGCGCCCCGGACCCTCGCCCAGCTGGGCGGCGGGCGGCACCGACGGGCTCCCGGCTCAGGATCCCGGCGCTTGCCTCCTCCCCTCGGCCGCGCAGGCCCTGCCCTCCTCCCTGCCGCCGCCCTCCGGGACCAGGAGAGGCAACTCTCGCAGCCGCAGCCGCAGCCGCCCCCGGCCCTCCTGGGGTGCTCCCTCGCGGGCCCCGGATAGGCGGGGGCGGCGATGCGGCCTCGGGCGCCGCGGGCTGGCTCCGCCGGTGGATGTCGCTCCCGGGCTGCAGTGCCCTAGCCGAGCGCCCCGGGCCGCCAGCGCACTGGGCGAGGCGTGGGCCCTGCAGGCTGGAGGCCTGTCGAGCCGCTGCCTCCGCCGGTCCAAGCCTTAGGAACTCCTCGACTGTGTGGGGAACCAGCCTCGAGGCCGAGAAGCCTCCGAGTTCCGGGGCTTTGGCAGGGTTGCGAGGTCTCCATCACCCTCCACCCCCCACCCCCAACCCCCACACCAGTTGGCAAACATTGGCCTCAGACAAACCCGGGTTCCAGTCGAGGCCCAGCCACTGCCAGCTTTGTGGTAGTGACTTCGGATAGAGCTTTCACACTCTCCAGTCTCTGCTTTCTCATTTGTACATGAGGCACAATAACACCTATTTTCACACGGGCTGGTTGAGAACCCCAAACTAGACAACTACCAAGCACCTCGCAGAACTCAGGAAATGATGATTCCGAAGCCGCTGTTCTTAGACCACCAAGACAAGAGACGCTGTCAAAAGGAAACCAACCGAGCCCCGTCCGGAACCGCGAGCGCGCAGTCCGTTCCCCCTGACCCTTCTCATGCCCGCACCTGGATGTGAAGCAGGACAGTGCGCCCCAGGAGCAGCGATCCGGACCGGGAACATGGCCTTGCCCTCTCCCCGCAATTGCCCGGACCTCCACCCACCGTGACCGTACCCCATAACAGTGGCACTGCGAAGCAAAGCAGGAGGAGAGATCATTCTAGCTTTCTTAGGGTCTTGTGGGAACCCAGGACGACATAGGTGGACCTCAGCCTCCGGCTCAAGGCTCCCCCCACCCCACGCAGCTCTGCAGCTCCTCATCGCGAGCTTCTCAGGGCTAGCGGGCTGCTGTGGGAGCTCATCCCGGACCGCAGCCTCACTGAGGCCCGCAAGTCTGGAGGCGGAGCGCCCCCTCCCTCCCAATCCGAGGAACCGACTCAAAGGTGCGCAGGGCCGCTCCCGCGGTGCAAATAGGGGCTGGTCTGGGTTTACCAACCCAAAGTCAAAAGCAGGGGCCCAGGAGGGTCTCCGTGATGACAGCCCTTCTGACTCCATAGGGATTTCTCCACATCCCAGTTTTCGACCACTCTCAAATACACAGCACTCTGTGCCCCGGGGTTTCTACTCCTTGCCCTCTCCCAGAGCCTGTGATCCCTGGGCAGAAAGAAGGTACTTCTGGCTCCTGGGCAACCTGGCCCAGCACCTTCTGCATGGTGGCCCTGAGCTAGACTGGACCCACCTTTTTGGTTTTGCTTGCATCTTCCACCAGGAACACATGCGCTGGTCTTCTGGTTCTCTCCATCATCACAGCCACCAACTTACTGGACAAATTCATTCTCAGTCCTCAAGACCCAACCCAATCTCTTCTCTTTGGTGAAGCCTTCCATGGCCTTCTTGTGCCCTGAATAGTTTTTTGCCAGATTAAGCCCCTCAGTCCAGTGACTGGCTGTTTATCTCTTCACCTGTGTGTCTCCTGCATGAGGCTTCAGGCTCCTGGAGGACAAGGACCAGGCCTCCCACATCCTGTCTGATGCCAGACTGGGCAGGTAATCAGCAGAGCTTATTGAATGAATGCTTGGTAGATTGATAGATTGACTGATTGATTGAGTGAATGAGAGAAATCATTAAGCCAGTGAGTGAACACCCACACTCCCCACCATGACCCTCAGAGTAGCGTTCCTTGACTGCTCAGTTACAGCCCTTCTTATTGTGAGTTTCAGCTGAGCTGGACAGAGCTGGGGTAAGCAGGGAGGACTCCACGCCTTTGGGAAGGTGCAGCATCCTGCCCGTTGCCCTAGCGAGGGGAAGAGGCAAAAGCCACTGTGCCCTTGCTGGTAGGAGGAGGGAAGAGGAGGTTGAGAGGAGGGTCTACATTTTGCTCCCCTGATGGAGGAACTGTCAGCCCCGCTGCCAGTCATCTGCCAGGAGGGAACTGGGTCAAGCGGTAGTCAGAAACCATCTGCTCGAGAAGCTGGGATTATCCCGCCCTCTGCTGATCCCCCAGCCCCCAGGAGCCAAGGGTGTAAATTGAGTTCTTCCAGATCACCTTGTGCTTTGGGAGGGAGCCCCCATCCCCTACTGAGGGGCAAGGACCTGTTCCTGTTGCTTCAAAGCCTCATTTAGCACTGGGCTCCGTTCTCCTTGTACTGGTGACCTCAGCCCTCAGTCAGAGCCAGGGATGTGACTGCGCCTGTCAGTTTTGAATACAATAATGCACATCAATGCTGCAGCCAACGCCCTACACACAGGCTGTAGGACCAGGCCGCCCACACACAGAATGCTGGCTCCCTGATGCCATCAAAGAACTCTGGCCCAAGTGGGGAAGGGAGGAAGAAAACATGGTGACACTATGGATATGGTCACACAGTATGGAGAAGGCTTCCTCAGGGAGCACAGAGCACTTGCTCTCACTATAGTTTTTTTGTGGGGTAGGGGAGGGGTTGGGGTTTTGTTTTTGCTTTGTTTTGTTTTTTTCATAACTCTTACCTAAGCGTCAATTTGGGGATGATAAAGATGTCCAAAAGCCAAAAGTGACAAAGCAAACCATAAAAATGAGCCTTAGGGCTCATTTGCTAAAAGACTTGAGAAGTCAGGTGCTGTTCTTGGCCACATGGCCCTTGAAGAGTGTTGGGGTGAAGAGAAGTCCTTCCCACAGTGGGCACTCAGGACCTAGGAGGGAGAAAGATCTTTGGCTGAGTTGAGCTCAGGGACCTGTGTTCACTTCCCCACCACTGGTCTAGAAGTGGCCGTTTCCAGACATCACCATCACGCCTCATACCTCTGGAACAGCTCTCTGTCTGAACAGAAGATGCTGTGTGCCAGACTAGCATCTGAGAGGGCCTGCTCACCAGCAGCCAGGAGCCAGGTGGGAAGCAGGAGCCCACTGAGGGTTCCCAAGAGCCCCAGGCCACAAGCTGACCTTTGTAAAAGCACAGATACCAACAAAGAGCCCCTCAGAATGCCCCAAGGCCACCTCATGCCTTTGTGGTCACGAGGCAAGTCTTTGATAAGTAAGTGGATGTGGGAGGGTTATTTTGATAAGGCAGCTGGATGGCCGGTGCCCACCTTTCGAGGGCCCCAACAGACCTCCACATCCTCAAGTCCCACTGTGGCCTCACAAGGATGCCTGTCATCTCTGAAACTCATGAGCTCCAGAGCTGAGACTACCTGGGCTACTGATCTGCCGTGCTCAGCAACCAGCTCAGTGCCCTCTCGGGCAACGCTGGTGAACTGAAGTCAGTGCGTCCCACAAAACGGATGATGCGGAGGCACCCATGCGTGACTTGGTTCAAACGTAGACCCCACCAAGTTCCAGTTGTCCCGAGTGGCCAGCCACCGTGTGTGCGCTCCTCCCCTGCTTCCCACCCGGAAATGTGCTAACAGAGGCACGTCCCAGCTTCACGTGCTCCTGTGCTATTCCTAAACTAACCTCAACACGGAACCACCTTGCAGGGCTTCTCATCTAGACATTCCTTTTTTTCCTTCTTCTTCTAATTCCTTTTTTGTTTGGTTTGTTTGTTTGTTTTTGGTGTGGGGGGGTAGATAATTAGGTTTATTTATTTATTTTAATGGAGGTACTGGGGATTGAACCCAGGACCTCATGCATGCTAAGCATGCGCTCTGCTGCTGAGCTATACCCTCCCCCCTACCGAGTCATTCCTTTTGAGCTGATTCCCTCAGCTCCCGAACCCCTGAAATCTATCAATCTATCATCTGGTAGCAAGAATCACATCCATCAACCACACAAGCGCTAGCTAGCTTCAGAGGATGTTGGGGAGCCCCCCTCTACTTCCCCGGAGCAAGGGTAGGGGCGGGGGTGCTGGAGGCAGTGTGGCCAGAGGATTCAGCATATTTTGAGCATTCAGGAAATATTTCAACAGCAGGCCCCATCAGGATTGCAGTCTAAGTTGGTGTATTTTCTCGAAAAATAGAGGTGCTAAATACAGCATTTGGTTAGTGTCCCACTTCAAATTGCTGATCACAAACTAGTCCGAGCACAGAATTC